AAGTGTGAAGTGTGGACTGTGAAGTGTGGAGTGTGAAGTTTGAAGTTTGGAGTGCGAAGAGTGCAGTGTGCAGTGTGAGGTGTGGAGTGTCGAGGGAAGGACACGGTCGGGACAGGTTGTCTTTGAACTATAGGTCATTTATGTTTGGGAAACTTCCGCCGCCGGCTTGCCCGGGTCTATGTTATAAGGTTAATATCAACTTGATATGATACTTGAGGATATGGAGATATCAATGGGGATATGGAGATATCAATGGGGATATTGATATCATCCAACCATTATCAACTTATAGCAACCCCCCAACAAGATAGAACTGTGTTTCCGGGATGGTATCGATGATGTTTTCCCCATCATTCCATGTTTTCAATGGGGATCTTATCCAACCATTGAGGATATGACCATTATGACCAAGAAAGAACAATGAGGATATTGATGGGGATATTCATGGGGATTTATCATGACTTATCCAACCACCATGGGTTTTAAATGGGTATAACCTCAACTTAATATGATATGTAGCTGTGCGCTTTCCCTGTCCCATCTGTTGCCCAGCTCCATGGCATGCACTGGATACCCTGGTGCATGAGAGGCAACGCTTTCCATGTTGCTGTGGTTAACGCTTTCCGCGTTCTGTGGGGTCCTCATGGAAGTCGGCCGGGAGCGGAATTCCACCCGATTTTGTTAGTTGGGCGCGTCTTCCGCACGTGCGTAGGCCTGCTTTGTTGGTCGGTTATCCTGTCCTAGACTTTGGGACGAATGTTGAGGATGTAGAATGATAAATCATTGGATTCTGGGGGCACACCATTTTCAGCCCTAAACGGATGTTTCCACTGAAAAGCTATGGAACATCTGTTTTGGTCGCCAGGTTGTGGAAGTGGAGATGGAGTTTTTCGGCACCTCCAGACCCACGGCATAGGATGGGTTTTTCCATGTCAGCTGCTGTCAGCTGCTGTCAGCGCTTCCCGTCCCGCCGCTGCCAAGTGGCTGAAGACTTGGGAATGCAGTTGGTTCTGCCTGGAGATCGCTGGAGATATCGCTGGATGTCGCGGTCCAAAAACTCGGGGACCCCCAATGGGACCCCCAATGACCCAATGACCCAATGGGAATTTGAATCAACTTCATCATCAACGAGGTAACGAGGATCTTTTGAATTTCCTTTTCAAACGAAAACTGTTTGATGATACAACGTGTATCTGATGCCCCACAAAGTGAGATGATTCAGTGCGGGTGAGAGACGGTCGTGCAAAGGATTTGGCATTCCACCAGATGATAGAACCTGCGGTGCGGGGCAACCACACCATGGCACTGTTTCCCGTATCGAAAAGGGAAGTGACTAAAATCATCGCTCTGAAATAGTTGAGCAAGCACCCCTTCATCAATGATATAAGTCAGCTTCTCCCAGTCTCAACTTGAAAGTCCTTCTTTCGCAGCAAAATCTGAGTACCTCAAGCACCAGCCGGTTACTTCAAGGATAAGGATCCAACCGTCCCATTCCCAACCATTTCCTCCATGTTGCCACCTGGTCTCCCTCTGCATAGAACTCCTGACATGTCGGGTGATGAGAGAATACCATGACACTAGGCGCAGGTAAGCCACATCTTTCTGAGGAATACCATTTCCATTCCAAGTTCCAAGTCATAATAAGTCATCATAAGTCAAAAGTCACCATAAGTCATCATAAGTCATCATAAGTCATCATAAGTCATCATAAGTCATCATAAGTCATCATAAGTCATCATAAGTCATCATAAGTCATCATAAGTCATCATAAGTCATCATAAGTCATCATAAGTCATCATAAGTCATCATAAGTCATCATAAGTCATCATAAGTCATCATAAGTCATCATAAGTCATCATAAGTCATCATAAGTCATCATAAGTCATCATAAGTCATCAAAGAAGTCATCATAAGTCATCATAAGTCATCATAAGTCATCATAAGTCATCATAAGTCATCATAAGTCATCATAAGTCATCATAAGTCATCATAAGTCATCATAAGTCATCATAAGTCATCATAAGTCATCATAAGTCATCATAAGTCATCATAAGTCATCACAAGTCATCACAAGTCATCATAAGTCATCATAAGTCATCATAAGTCATCATAAGTCATCATAAGTCATCATAAGTCATCATAAGTCATCATAAGTCATCATAAGTCATCATAAGTCATCATAAGTCATCAAAAGTCATCATAAGTCATCATAAGTCATCACAAGTCATCACAAGTCATCACAAGTCATCACAAGTCATCATAAGTCATCATAAGTCATCATAAGTCATCATAAGTCATCATAAGTCATCATAAGTCATCATAAGTCATCAGAAGTCATCAGAAGTCATCATAAGTCATCATAAGTCATCATAAGTCATCATAAGTCATCATAAGTCATCATAAGTCATCATAAGTCATCATAAGTCATCAGAAGTCATCATAAGTTATCATAAGTCATCATAAGTCATCATAAGTCATCGTAAGTCATCATAAGTCATCATAAGTCATCATAAGTCATCAGAAGTCATCACAAGTCATCATAAGTCATCATAAGTCATCATAAGTCATCATAAGTCATCAGAAGTCATCATAAGTCATCAGAAGTCATCAGAAGTCATCATAAGTCATCATCAGTCATCATAAGTCATCATCAGTCATCATAAGTCATCATAAGTCATCATAAGTCATCATAAGTCATCATAAGTCATCATAAGTCATCCAAATCTTCTGAATCTTCGGAATCTTCCAAGTGGAAGGTGATGCAACATGATCCAATGAACCAGCAGCCATCTCCAGCCACCTTCCATCTCCGTCCTCGTAGACTTGGCAATTCCACGCCCGAGCAGTTCGGATAGGTCTGGTGGGGTTGCTGACATCAGCAGCCTGGCATCAGCCCATCAACATCCCAATTAGCCTCTGGTAAACTCACACTTTGCTATTGAACATGGCCCATTTATCGTTGATTTACATATTAAAAATAGGGTGATTTTCCATAATTATCTTACTTTACCAGAGGGTATGATGAGTATGATGGTGCCATTCCATTCCCAGCGAATCTACGATGACGACATCTACCATGACATCTACCATGGATCTAGGCCGTGCAAGTCTCCACAATCTCCACCCATCCTGACAGCATCCATCATCCGGTCATCATCATCATCATCATATACTGTATATAAATGTACATATAATAGACTATATGTGTATATACATATATATAAATGTATATATATATAACATTATATATATATGTATATATAACTAGTATATATATATATAACTATACAACTATATATATATATGCCTTCCCATCATCCCATCATCCCGGACTCATATCCCTGACCTTCAGCAGCATCTGTATCAGCAAGATGCTCTGCTCCGTTCCCGCTTGGAAAAAGACCTCCAGCTCCGAGGCATCGGACGCCGCCTGCGGAGATGCGGGAGGATCCCTGGAAGATGCACTGGGATGATATGGATATGAATCAAGTAATACATATCTCTAGAACATAATTTTAAATGATGTATAATATTATTATTGTATAAATCACACACACACACATATATATATACATATATATATACATATATATATATATACATATATATATATATACATATATATAAGGTTTCGGCTGCAGCCCCCACGATAGCAGACCGTTTAACCTTAGCGGGAAGCCATCCCGCGGGCCCCGTTGTCACGGCCTTGGTGAGCTTTGCTTGGTCTTCTACGTGTTCCGGCAACTCACTTTCGTGTCCCAGCACGCAAATCCTGGGTTAGGTTTCTGCAGGTGTACCTTGAACACCTGTTGGCATTGTGCTCTGCCTTCTCACTGGAGAGGCATCACCTTACACGGGCCTTCATCATTGAGATTGACCCGGTTTTTTGGCTTTGGTTTTACCTGCTTTCCCACTGGCTGTCTTCGGACCCTGGCATTGCAAGGTACATTCCAATATTTACAATTCATTTTATTCTGTTGGTGGATTAGCAATATTTGGTCTGGGCTTGTTTGCGCAGTCGATCTTTCCTGGTCGAACTCCCCTTTCTATTTGCTCTCGCTCCACTTACATTTCAATTTGATTGACTTTGATTTGGATTTCCTCTTCTGGAATTTTGCTAAGCTGTACCGCGAGGAGGCTTTTCATCCAGTTGATGCAGGTGATAGTGCTCTTCTTCACACTCCTTGTGAACAACGACACTTTCTACCAATTCTCAGAGGCGCCGGTTCAGACGACAAAGAGCTGTAGCCCGCTTTCTGTGGCACAAACATCGCACAGGGCAAGCAGCGCTTACCTACAAGCAGCTGCACAAGATCCACAACAGGTTGTCTCGACATCATTCTCGAGACCCAGTCTTCGTTGCCAACATCATGGCAAACATGGAGACGTATCCCTGGCATTGCAGCTGTGGACGCCTCAATGGCAAGCGCCATGTGCATTGCCCGGCATGCAAGGCACACTGGAGCGCTGGTGTCCCACACAGCAACGAGCCAAAGAGTCCAAGGACTTACAACTACCACGAAGATCAGTCGGAACAATGGGACTGGCAGAATCGTGGCAGGAAGACTCAAAGGAAATGGAAGGGCCATCAGCATCGGCCTTACGACAGAAGCGAGAGTGCGAGACGCAGAGAAAAAGGAGGTGGAAAAGGAAAAGGGAACAAAAGTGCCTCAACTGCTCAACAAGCACCTGTGCCACCCACTGCCAGTGCACTTTCACATGCAGAGCTTCTGTCAGCCGTCCGCAAGAACTACCCGGACATTACTCAGGCCCCGGAGGACATCCAGAGAGCCGTGGAGAAAGCCGAGAAGTTCACATCGAAGGCCCTTACCACAGATTTGAACAAAGCCTCCAAACAGGTAGGCAAAGCAGCCAGGCAATTGTCGCAAGTCAAGGATGCAAGAACATCCCATCGACAAAACTGGCTCAAACACCTCAAGGACTCTGTTGTCAGCTGGCAGAAACAGCTCCAGCTCTTCAAAGACCAACAGAAAGAGTATGGAGATCAATTGAACAGAGCGCAACAAGAGCTCAACATCGCTCGCAGACATCTACAGCAGCTGAACAAGCAGGCTGCTGCAGTGGGAGCGCCGCTCTCCACCGAAACAGGCGATGCCATCCCAGAGTCGGCAGAGGGGGACACCAACTCCACCTTCGAGATGGAAGCTCAAGCTCTAGTTCAACAAGTGCAAGAAAGCCTACAACAGAGCATTGCAGCAGCCTCCAAGACCGACGAGGCCATGGAAGTGCTCTCCGACGAAGAAGATCGCAGAACAAAGAGACCACGCTCTATGGAGCCCTTTGGGGGAAGTGCCCAAGATGGTGGTTTCGATGGACAGCGATCCTCCTCACCCAAACAGTGAGACTTGGCAGTGACGTTCAGTGTCTGCGGAACGAGCTTCACGAGCCATTTCAGCACAAGAAGACGACTGAGTTGACTGAGGCCTACCATTGCGATCGCAACAATGGTGCAGCATGTCTTCCAGATCTTCGAAATTTTGATTTTGATTTGAATCTCCTGGTCCGCTGCCATAGCATTCACTGGGACCCCAAATTTCTTTCTGAACCTGCAGCTGTAGCAAGAGCCACCATGTTGAGAACCGAAGTGCTCTCATATGATGACACTATGCCATGGACCACTACAGGAAACCACAGACTCATCTCTGGGAAACCATGCTCGAAAAGAAATGTATCTGTGATTCGACATCGACAACGACATGTCGCTTTTCAGCCATTTGCAGTTTCATTTGATGAGCATTTCCCACCGATTTTTCAACAACATCCAGATGAAGATGAATCTGATCTGTCTTTTCTCATGGCAAGAGCTCCTGGAGCGCGCATGCCTTTGGCCGAGCCTAGCACTGACAGTGATTCAGATCTGAATACAAACCCACCAACATCACCATCGTCGTTTGGCCCACCACAAGAATGGCAATCTGCACAAGTCTATGACCTGAATGGCAATTTTGCGCATGGAAGGGTGCACACGCAACCTCCAGAGGCTTCTTTTGCCGACATCCGACGATTGTTGGGCATGACACACCATGCTGTTGCAAACATCTTCGACATCAGGCCGTCGCCCAAGGATCTGCAAGCAGCCAACATTGCACCTTTCCTTCTCTTAGCACATACTGACATGCGCTTTGGCGACACACGCAGAGCTGTTCTGATTGATGTTGAGTTGCATGGCCCAACCTTTGAGTCGGTTGTTGAGATTGACAGATACACCACATTGCTGCCAACACCTATACATCGTTCGCTGATCCTACGTATTGCTGGTGTTTTACAATACTGCTCTACGATGAGAAATCGATGTTTGTTGTGGCATCGTGGTGCCCTGATCAATGCGCGATCACGCGCCAACTTGGACTTGAATCATGGCGATTACATACGCATTGCGGTGCCGCCTTTTGAGCCATCCAGCATTTCCACTTACTATGCAGTACGGGCTTGCCAACATGGACTCAATCGAAGACAAATCATTCAACGCCATCGACGCCAACCTGATCCTGATGAACTTTTCACAGATGTTGAAGCAGCACAACGACCCGCTGACGAAGCCACTTTGTTGCAAGTCAGCGCCACTGATGCTGCTTTACCACAGGCTACATGGATCAAGCTCCCAACCACTGTCACCATTCGGAACTTTGGCAAATGTGCTGACCCACAATTTGTGGCCAGTGCTCCTGGAGCTTACCAACCACCACGACAAGCAGAACAAAATCAACCATGGCCATCATGGTTCAGTTCTTTACATCAAGCCTTTGCTGAACAGGCCGCAATTGCTTGTGAAGAAGAAGGACCCATCGCATTCCTCACAACGTGGTACATCACTGGCCCATATGAATCTGCCAATGAGGAGAGCAGAGTATTCCGGCTTGATCAACATCATCATTACTGGAAGACCGACCTGGTTGACCTTTGGAGGGACAAGATCGACATGGCACAGGACCTTGAATTGGTCTTTGTACAGCCTCAACCACCAAGTCATGACACAGAATGGACCATTGGCCATCTCATTCTTTATCAACGAGTTCGACCACCGCTCAAGCCTGCCTTGGTCACCATCAAGTTCTTGACGGACAGACGAACGGGCATCAATCACGCAGTGGCAGCATTAGACAGCCCCACAAATGCCTTTCATTTGCGCGATCTTTGCCAGCTTGGCCGGATATGCATTGATCGACTTTGTGAACTGCAAATCTCAGATCGTCTTTTCCAAGGCACTGATGCTGCACTCTTCAGAGCAGGCAACAACCTCATCTTCAACGTTCATCCACCTGTGGTTACCAGCCACTTTGGCGATGAACACATTGTTGCACCACAATGGCTGACTACAAGTACGCAGACCAACCAGCTTGAATTTGAGGCCACACCTATCCTGCAGGATCAGACAGCATTCATCCAAGCACTCTTTCCACATTGGGATGTCCATGCGAGACCTGGCCCAGCCCATCTGGAACGACTGCTACTTGTCGACACGTGGTGTCTACATTCAGATCGCATTCGTACCAACGATGAAATGAGGCAAGTCATTTTTGCTGATGACTTTCACAACTGGGAATTACATCTGAGAAGCACTTGGCAAGATCTACTTGAACCGCAAGTCGAGGTTGACTTCGCCATCGTATGGGAGTCTCCTGAACGGGACTTTGACCGGTCTCGAATCCACATCATTGTGCACCAGCTCCTACGCCCAGTTGAACGTGCCACTTTGGTCACTACATATGATGATACTTTGGCGATCCGACAGCCGTACACCACGGCTGCGATATTACCAAGTATCACGGGCCAAACTCAACTCCTACAAGCTGTCCATCGTGAAAATGATTGTCCTCCTCGCAACCCTCACACCACATGTACCACATGGCAAAGAGGATGGCAATTCTCTGATGCAGCACCATATCGATGCAGACATGGACAAGCTTTCATGCTGATCATCACACCTGCGCAACCTTTCAGCTGGGAGTGGGATGACATGGAGGAAGATGCAATCAACTTCCTTCAACATCAACCATCAATACAACACCCTGACAGACACAGGCGCCAAACAGTTGGGCAGGTGGCTCATACCCAACGGCCTGTGCATCAAATAGAACTTGCCCAGTGCATTGAACCGCCACAGACAGTTCAGATTGACCTTTCGCAAGTATTCCACATGGCTGATGAACTTGCCATCTTCGGACCGCTTTTAGATCAGCGATGGCCACAAGATCTTCAAGCACCGGAAGTCACCAGACATGCATTCGAGGAGCTCATTGACACGCATGACAAACCTCCACGCGCTTTTCATTTCTTTACAGATGGCTCCAAAGCGCTTGATGGGCATGTTGGATCTGGTATTGTCTTGCTCATTGAAACCACCACTGGATGGAAATTTGGAGGATGTCTCTATTGCCACATTGCATCAGCTACATCATCACTATATGGAGAGCATGGAGCTTTGATCTGGGCGTTGATTTGGGCAGTCCATCTCAGTCACCGACATTGGCAAATGTATCCTGGTGCTCCTTTAGCCTTCTCCTTCAATTTTGATGCGACAGTTTCTGGCAACATGGCAGCAGGTCGATGGAGAACCATTCATGCACTCTCTTGGAGGATTATCATGCGGAGCCTGGCACAGATTCTCCAAACGCGTCATGGTCACGACCACATTGCCTGGCATCACATCAAAGCACACTCTGGCCACCCGTGGAATGAGTGTGCTGATTGCCTTGCCAAATATGCCGCTGAGCACCCGCAGCAAGCGCAAAGCAGTGAGCTTTGGGAAGCGTGGACTCATGATGAAGGCAAACTTTGTGCACTCCAGTGGATCTGGTACAAGGAATTGATGGAATGGGGAGACCCAAGAGTACCCCTACTGCAAAATGGGCACATGATTTGCATTGTTCCTCGACCACCTGCCCCCACTGTTGAACAATCTGCACAATGCAACAGTGCGCCATCCAAGCTTACCAGCGAAGTGAAGCTCACCCTCGCTACAGCAAATGTGATGACATTGGACCAAAGTTCCAAAACTACGTCAGTCACACGACAGATGCTCCTGATGCAACAATTTCACACGGCAAAATGCACCATTGTAGGCATCCAAGAAACGCGACACAAACATCTTGCGTGCCTGAACAATGAGTACTACCACATACTTGGGCATGCCGCTGATTCTCGAGGACAAGATGGAGTGCAAATTTGGATTTCCAAACTTCTCCCAGTTGACAACGAGGGCAATACCATCGACAAGCAATCATTTCGAGTTGTTGCCGCTGCCCCGAACTACATGATTGTCAAGTTGAAAATCCATGGATGGACACTTGCTGTCATTACTGGACGAGCACCCCACTCCGGACGGCCCAGGCATGAAGCTGTCCATTTTTGGTCTACCCTACAAACCATTGTGCAGAAGAAGCTTGCCGGTTTACCCATTTTCTTCTGCGGAGATGCGAACGCACATCTTGGTGAATCTCCCACTGACTCCGTTGGTGATTTTCAACCTGCACAAGAGAATCAAGCTGGACAAGTTTTCCACGAGTGGCTGCTGTACCAAAATCTCTTTGTTCCGTCCACATTTGAGCACACCCAACGTGGAGCCGATGTCTCTACTTTCACATCCCCAACCGGACATGAAGTTCGAATTGACTATGTTGCGATCCCACAACATCTCCATTACGAACATGTTCAGGCTTGGACTGAGAACGAGATTGACTTGACGCTTTCCAGATGTGACCACCAAGCAGCTCTTTGCAGTTTAGTCCTTCAAGTGCCACGCTTACCCAGTGAGCGACCACAGCGACGCCTGCAACCAGATGTCCAAGACTTGGCGCACAACCTTGAAGAAGCCCACAATAGGCACTATCTGCATCAGGCCATGGTCACGCCCAGCTGGAATGTTGACCCTCACACCAGCGCTTCGATCTTGGCCCACTCCACTCGGCAGGTTGTTCAATCATTGGCCCAACCGAAAACACAGTGGAGGAGGAAATCACACATCACACAAGAAACCTGGGCTCTGGTAGATCGCAAAAAGCAGCTGTTCAAACAACTACGATGCCTGAAACGCACTTTGCGTTACACAACATTGCATGCATGTTTTCATGGATGGAAGGCCTGCAAATTTGAAGATGCAGTGATCGCCAATGTCATCGCTGCACTCCCTGCATGGTGTCGACTTCATGATCATGCCTTTGCGAAGACGCAGTTTGACCTGACAAGAGCAGCTGCAGAAGCCCAAACAGCCATTCGTCTACAAGACAGTGAATACTACCAGGCCATAGCGGCTGACACTACCAAAATCTACACAGTTGAAGGTATGAATGGACTCTGGCAACGCCTACGAGCCCTTCTGCCCAAAAACCGAACAAAGTCCAAGCAGGTCAAGCGCGACATTGATGATGCACTCCAGTGCCACTTTGAGGCCCTAGAAGCTGGATGCCGCACTGACTCTGCTACTCTGCAGAATCATTGCTATTCACGCAACCTGCAAGAACAGCAAGATCAACCCCAAATTCGACATTTACAGCTCTGTGAATTACCAACGCTCGTCGAGATTGAAAATCTATGTCTGCGGCAACGACCAAGAAAAGCGGCAGGGCCAGACATGATCCCGCCTGATTTATGCAGACATGGAGCAGTGTCTGTCGCACCGCACATCTACAGCGTTGCATGCAAAGCGTTGGTTTACGGCATGGAGCCATATGACTACAAAGGTGGCCGACTTTGCGCACTATACAAAGGACGAGGAGATCCCGATGCTGCTGATGGATATAGGGGTATTCTCTTATCCAACACGTTTGCAAAGGTGATGCACGCATGGACAAGAGGCAGACTTCTACCAACTCTGAAGTCTCGCAAAACCATGGGCCAACTCGGTGGCCTCCCATCCCAGCAGACAATCACAGGAGTCCAAGCTATCAGACTTCACGCACAGGTGGCCCAACAGAAGCACCTCACAAGTGCTACCATCTTTTTGGACCTGAAAGCGGCGTTCCACCACATGCTGCGTGAACTGATTTTTTCAACCTCCAATCAACTCCTGCACGACGTCCTGAAAACCATCCTGGATGAGAATGAGTTCGACATCCCAGAATTGGTTCAGCATCTTGATGCTCTTTGCGCTGAGGAGGTCACAGACATTCCACCAGGGCTACGCAACCTTCTACATGATATCCATCAACATACATGGTTTTGTCTTGGTGAAGGACCTACGGCCCGCAACGAATGCACGCACACCAAAAGAGGGACTCGACCAGGGTCACCCTTGGCTGACATTGGTTTTAACCTGATGATGGCTTCCTTGCTACGAGAACTGCACGAATCTCTCATGCAGCTTGATGATTTTGTTGAAGGTGCGACTGCGCTTGGGACGTTTGTGCCACCCATCGCATGGGTCGACGATGTTGCAATTTCGCTCACAGCAACATCTGCATCCCGCATGGAGCCATTGATCCAGGATACGATTCGAGCGGTTCACTCTGCATTCAGAAGCCGAGGACTCACCCTCAATCTCGACCGTGGCAAATCCGAAATAGTGGTGATGTTCCGTGGACAGGGTGCCAATCAATGTCGCACTGCTTTGTTTGACATTGAACAGACTCCCTTCATCACCACTGCGACGAATTCCCACATTCTCACAATGAGGGTTACGTCAGAGTACAAGCACCTTGGCGTTCGCTTTGCCATGAACCTGGACTTTGACAAAGAAATCAGAGCGAGGCTCGGAGCTGCCAGACAGGCGTTTGAGCAGCTCAAATCAGCAGTCTTTCTCAACAAGGCCATTCCAGTTCAAGGGCGTTTGATCCTTTTCCAGAGCTTGGTGCTGTCGAGACTCCTGTATGGATGTGCCGCATGGGCAGAGTTGTCTGCCACAACCTACAGACAATTGGATGCCACCTTTGTGAAATTTTACCGCAAAATTTGCAATGTGGGGTACTGGAAGGAGATTAACATGACCGACAAAGACTTTATGCAGTGCCATAGCTTGGCGACCTTTCGTATTTTCTGGGCCAAACACAGACTGTGTTATTTGCATCATTTAGCACACCATTGCCTCACCTTCCACAAGACCTTGCTGTTGTGTGAATTTGAACAAAGGAGAGGTTGGCTCTTTGAAGTTGCGGAAGATCTTGCTTGGCTTTCCAGCCCTTTTCCATTCCCACCAGCAGAGAAGGATGGATCACGGCATGGCAGGCCCTGCGAGATTGCAAAAGTTGGCCAAGATGGGTACATCGTGCCGTTCGGAAGCATGTTGAGCAGGAAAAGATAGCATATGAGGTCAGGCACTACCATGAGTGCATTCGAGAAGAACTAGCAGAAGCTGGCATGACTTTGATCGAGGCAACACCCGATGAGACGCAAGACACGCAGAAATTTGGGTGTGCACACTGCTCATGTACCTTTCCAACGGCACAGCAACTCGCTGTTCATGCTTTCCGACTACATCAGGTTCGAGCTGAGGAGAGCTACTATGTGCAGTCCGAAGTTTGCCCAGGATGCTTGCGAACCTTCCATACGACGTTTCGTGTCCTTCAGCACTTGCGATACCGAGGAAACCTTTGCTGGGACCGCATCAAGGATGCACGTAGCAAAGATGAACCTGCTCAGGTACAGCTACCTCCACATCTTGCTGGAGTTTGCCGCCTTCCTGCGGTGAGGAAACATCATGGCCCACTACGACCAACAGCCCGGCAACGTTCCATCCGATGCCTTCGAGAAGAGATAGCGAAGTTGCAGGGCGAAGGGGATGAAGACTATGCCTGGTGGGATCCTGACAAGGAGGTCCAGTTGAAGAATCAGAGCATAGCACTCTTTTGGACCGCCCTCAGCGATTGGTTTGCCTTGGAAGCCCCCACCATTGTGGATTTTCACAACCTCTTTTTTGACTGCATGCTCTCCATGAATATTGAGGACATGAAAGCAGCACGCCTCTTTATTTATTGGATTGAGAATGAGCTCTCTGATTTTGTCCCTGAGGACGATCAAGTTCAACACATGCAGCTTTTGGAGACCGCATACATGTCAGTGCTAGAAGATCTGCGCCCTTGGACATTGCGGCTTCGCTACAAGGAATTGGCAGCTCAACTATGCCACCTTGAACAAGCTGACGATGTTGCTCCGCGACCAACCCAAAATCAACCACAATCACGACGAGCACGTCAGCATCCCATTGAGATGGACTATGCCAACATGGTCAAGGAAGAGCACGAGCGAAGACAGTGGAGGATCGATTGCAGACCGCAGCTAAGTCTGACCCCTGAGCAGGGTACCTTCTACATCATCCATCTCTACGCTGGTCGCCGCCGAGACCGAGATTTTCATTATCACATGAACACCCTTTTACAAGGGAGTAAGCAGGCGTGGACCGCATCTGTCACAGTGATTTCGCTGGACACTGCCATCGACGAGGCGATGAACGTGCATTCACCCAAGCTCTGGTCCTGGCTTTTAGCCGCTGCCAAAGCAGGAAGGATATTGGGATTTCTCCTGGGCCCACCCTGTGAGACGTGGAGCAGTGCCCGGCATGAGGTCATTGAAGATGCTGCAGGACATCCTATCAAAGGACCTCGCCCGCTTAGGCTTGCGGATCAATGCTGGGGAGTAGAAGGTCTTTCCTTGCGAGAACTGCGGCAGCTCTCGGTCGGAACTTGCCTTCTCTTGCGCGGCCTGTGGCTTTGTGTGCCGATCGCACTAAGCGGAGGTGCTGTCATTCTTGAGCATCCTGCGCCGCCGATGCAGGCTGATCGCCCCTCGATCTTCCGCACGGGCATCATTACCTTGCTCTTGCGAGAAGGCTGGTTGTTCAAGCGACATTCGTTTCAGCAATGGAAACACGGCGCGCAGGGAGTCAAGCCGACGTCCCTGTTTTTCGCCAACAACTCCATCCCGAAGGTTTTGGACGAGCTCGCACTGCAGTCAGTGGAACGCCCTACGCAGACCCTGATCGGAAAAGGCCATGACGGCCTCTTTCGCACGACGGTTGCCAAAGAGTACCCTGACAATTTGTGCGAGTGTTTTGCCCATGCCGTTTGGAGGCATATTTCGGGTCTTCCGCTCCGAAGTGACGGAATTTTGCCCAACGATTTTGCCACTGAATTGGCGGTTTTGTCTTCCAGGGTGGATCCCGGAAAGGCAATGAAGCCTGACTATCAGCCTACCGGCTGAAGTCATTAGCATGTTCGCCGCGAGGATCACTCAAAGGGCCGAGGAAAAAAAAAATATATATATATCATATTTTAGCTGCTTTAAATCAACAAAAAAAATAGAGTTTGGAATTTTCATCACGCAACAACAATTGGCTTTAGCACCTCAGTGGCGGCTGAGAAAGCTTTCATGAGCCTCTCATGCCTCAGCTGAGAAAAGGTGAGGTAATGATCTGACAGTTAACCATGGTTTTGATGGAAAAATGGGGATTGAATTGGGATATAAAACATTCTAAAACCAACTATGGGATATATTTTTGTTGTCGTTTAAATGTAAAGCCAGGATTTTGCAAAACCCCCTGTTACAAAATGGGGAAAGTAGCATGTAAGCAGCAAATTCTAACTTTTTTGGGGTAACCATCAGTGAAGATCGATCACATGGAGTATCCCCGTTATACCTCTTCTAAAAATGTTGTGAAACTATGTGGAAACTAACAATCAATAATTAATTGAGGTCGCAATAGGTCGTAAGAAAATCACACCTATGAGCTTTTTGCTGGCTACCCATCCATCATATACTCATGATTGTTGAGTGTACACTCACTATCATTGGATACCCATTGGGTATTGTGTATGTCATAGATGCCATCAGCGATCCACCAGTGTTCACTGGAGAGTTTTCCGACACGAATCACACCGCGAAAAAAACCCAATCCCCAGGCCGATACGGGGCATCATAAAGTGGATCCACAAAGGGTTTCAATAGGTTTCAATAGGTTTCAATAGGTTTCAATAGGTTTCAAGAGTAAACTGCTACAATTTTGGATGATTTGGGATGGATTTTTCACAGCTCCATATGATGGCCATGGCCCCTTTGCCCCATCCATGGCCCCTTTGCTCCCAGCTACTGCGACAGGTCGGTGCCGTGAATCGCTTTCTCCACCATCTGCAACAGCCTGCTGTCCTTGCACCCCATGATCTCCTGGCGGATTCACCCAATGATGGGACCCCAAGGGACTGGGACCGACTGGGACTATGAGTGAAATTCACAAATTCACAAAATCCCCCGATGAAATCCACATGTTTCCATCATGTTTCCATCATGTTTCCATCATTTTTCCATCATGTTTCCATATGACATTGGATTGCTTTAGGGGATAATTGAAACCGGAAAGCCCCATATTTCATGGTAAAAACCTATAATTTCCTCTAGATAATTTTCCCTTCAACCAATCCAATGAATATTGTCCTGTTCAAATCCTGTGTCTTCTCCTGATGAATCGACACTAATTTTCTCCATATGTTTTCCCATCGAAAAAAGGCGCCTGGATAAGTTCCAGGGCCTTGGAGGCGCTGTGACTTTCCATGGGTCCAATGCCATCGGCCGAGTCCTCTTTTCGCGGTCCAGACAGATGAGTTGATCATCGTACATATACATATATATATATGTATATATAAATGTATATATATATATGTAGAGAATACACATAGAATATAGAATATAGAAATATGTATACAGTATACATATGTTATATAGAGCATGATCTTGCGCTTGATGAAGACATGAACGGTTGAACGCCTTTCATGGCTGGCCACCCTGTCGACCTCGCGCACAACAACTTGGCCGTGGCTGGTCGTCCAGGGGTCCTCCACATATTCGTGGCTGACTTTCACAAGATAGGGATTGGAGGTACCAGTGTGGTCCACATCCTCAGATATCATTGGAAACTTGGCCATTGGACCTTTCGCCAAGTCATGGTTTTTCGGTACAAAAAACATCACCTTTTTAAACGGTGCATCCACTGCAACATGTGGTGAAATCATGGCCGAGACACATGCGCTGCGGCTGCAAGCACTAGAGCGGAAGACTGAAGAGGTGAAAGTGTCTGATCCTTGGCATGACGAGATGACAAGCCCATCCGAAAAAACGACAGGGGGACCCCGGAATGAGGGCACTAAACCAGGGTTCCTATGGAGTTTTTAATGTTATTAGGGGAAAGGAATATATATATATATATACATACATAATATGTATTACTATGTTACTCACTTCAATCGCCAATTTGGCTACTTCATAATCTGTTCAAACTACAAGTTCCCATGTTGGCAACTTGATAACCACTTAGTCCCCCATCTTGCTCTATGTTGCTATACCATATCATTAGCCAATCCCCACCAGCCGCTAAGCGCCAAGTGATGCCAAGTGGCAAGGCCTGTCTCTTGCAGCAAGGTGGTGAGAAACCTTGGATTTGCATCGACACAGAAACGTCCTCTCTTTTGTCCTGTGCTGGTCATGTTGTAAGGCTCTGACTGCAAAACGTCCAGCAGATGGGCTGGGCCATGGTATGGATTACCTGGCATACTCTTCAGACATATCCCCTGGTACTCGTCGAGACTCTCTGGGGAAACCTGGCAGAGATGCTGCCAGAAGAATTCATCGAGATTTCTCTGGGTTCTTTGAAGCTGAAAAAAGCATGGCGACTTCAACATGACTTCAACATGAGCACAGTTTTTCAAGGGTCATCGATACTGCAAACTATCAGAATAATTCAGAATATATCAGAACCAACGGATTTTAATCATGTCCCCGGCCCCATTCTCTTAGAATCGCATTTTGTTGGTAAAAGTCCGGCCCCATCCCACATGATCCAACTTACGATGTGGATGTTGGCCAACATTGGGACCCCCAAGCGGTCCATATACACACCTGGTTACTCTCCGCGGTCCACTGGCCTTATCCCCATATCTTTATCTGCTAAGAACGACCATTCAAACCAGATGGGTACAAATTCCTATGTACGTAATTGTGAATATATAATTGCAATCATGATTATAACTGTTGTCATTTACAACCTATTGTTATCTGTTTGGTGTTAGCACTATTGGTAATATTACGCGCAAACCCCCCAGTTCGCCGACACAACTTCTTAGGGATTTGAAGGAATATAAATTCCGACCCCCGTTAAACTTTACATTCAATTGCGAGATCAACAAGGGTATTAGGAATATAAATTCCCACCCCCGTTAAACTTCTACATTCATTGAAGATCTTCAATAAGGTTTTAATTCTCCCACACCCTTCAAACTTCTACATTCATTGAAGATCTTCAATAAGAGTTTAATTTTCGCACCCCCGTTAAACTTCTACATTCATTGAAGATCTTCAATAAGGATTTAATTCTCCAACCCCCGTTAAACTTCTACATTCATTGGAGATCTTCGATAAGGGTTTAATTCTCCCACCCCCTTCAAACTTCTACATTCATTGAATATTTTCAATAAGGGTTTAATTTTCCGCCACCGTTAAACTTCTACATTCATTGAAGATCTTCAATAAGGGTTTGATGATGATGATGATGATGATGATGTCGTTCATGATGTTGATGATGATGTTGTTGTTGTAACATTGAACGCACAGGTAGCTAAGCTGTGCGTTGCAACATGAAAGCCATGATCATGGACATGTGCATTTTGTCCCACAAAACACAGTGTTCTTTGATGTTCGGACATGTCGTCGGCGTCGGCGCGGGCAAACTGAGGGGTTTGACCGTAATATTACAATTATTCCACTATTTACACACCGTGTAAAGGAATATAAAGGATAAGATAATACTTGGTAATATGCGGGAACGTTAGATACTATCAGATAATATCAAATAAGGTTGTATAGTATTAAAACAAACACCATTATTCGGTTAATATTGGTCACATATTCAGGTGATGACAATTGTTGACATCTAATATCCACACTACAAATAGGTGGCATACAATTGTCCGCGTTAGCCATGCTTAACCATCATTAATATTAAACATGTATTAGTAGGTGGTAAACTAATGACAGTGATTCATATTCAGTAAATTAACATAGATCCCGAAAATAGTCACTTTTTTAAGGAAGCTAATCTTCCAATCCCCTATTTGGAGTCTGTGTTAGTTGGGGTGATCGTAATATCAATCATCAGTAAATACAACTAATTAGCAAGATTTCCTGATTGTTAATAGTCTTCACGGGTTCGAATTATATCCCATTAAAAATCCACATTTTTGATGGTCAAATCCTTATGTTTGTTGGTTAATATCCATTATTACACGCAAAAAATCCCATAATATCCCATAGATCATTCATGGCATCCAATTATATCTCATAATATCACCCGATTTGGATGGTATATTGGGTATTATGGCTATACCATCATGTAGAATCCCATTGTATCCCCATTACTTTGCCACTGATATGCCCCTGCACCTGAAGCTTCTCTGCCACCTGCAGCTCCTTTGCCAGCGACGACACATGGCGTTGCCGCAGTTCTTCGGGCACCGACAAGGCGTTGAAGTTGTAGGTGACCTGAAAACACGAAAAAAATCGGGTGAAACAAATGGAGACTTCGATCGATTTTCCATGGATCTACTTGGAGGATCAGCTTGTCGCATTTCTTGATCATTTTCCAGCGAACCATGGTTGTTCCGACGAGTCGTTGGTTTCCCTTAGGGCAACTGATTGTATGGAATTATATCTTCTGGTTTATCTCACTTTATGTTGGAATAGACCTTCAAAACATCTCATTCTTATGGTTTTCCCAGATGCTAACCTCCAGGAGATGCTAACCGTGGAAATCATCCTGGAGATATACCTTGTCCATCCTTGTCCCCCCAAAAATACTAATTAATCCCATAGGGGGAAGATATTCCTGGGATGTTCCATTCTTATTTTTCTATGCTCCCTGTGGGTGTTTCTGGAATCTCAACATCTCCCTTGAGGTTGGGTGAAAGATGGCCGACAATTGATTTTCACCCACTTTCGCGGTGCTAGAAGTCTTGAACAGAACTCACCTGCCTTTGCAAAACAGATTCGAAACCAGTCATGATATCCATGTATGATAGATCTAAATAATTCTAAATACATATGCGTGCACAATCCGGCAACATAAGGTATAGTTCAACAAGTAAATCACCTTTCATAGCTATGTTACGCTATGTTTCTATGTTTATTTTTCCAAAGTTACCAGTATTTTGTCAAATTCCAACAACGTCACGGATGCCACGCCGAAGGACCAGTTGGGCATCCTGTGCCTGAGCGGCCTGGAGGTCATGAGGCTACCCAGTCCCCAGTCATAACAGTATGTAGTAATTTAACGTAATGTAATTGACCCATATTTTCAATTATACCATAGCCATATCCCATGTGTATGTATACCATATCAACTATACCCCATATCAATTATAAGATATTATACAATATTATACCTATCTGTATGTAGTTATACAGATATGAAGGCCATTACTTGAACATGAACTTGAACTGTTGAGTCATTGCTTAGACCAACTGAATGGTGATGGTTGAAACAGAAACCACCGGCCTGTCGAAGGCAGATTCCCAAAGATCTCCCACTGATGTGAAGACCTGGGAATCGAGCTTCGCGACTTCCACTGGGCGGTGGATGGAGTGGGCTAGAACTCTTCATGCCCTTTGACATTGGAAGATATTGGAAGGACATCAAGAAAACCTTGGCCGATGCCAAAGACCTCTGAAGAATCGATTCTCAAATTGGCTCGGGAGGATCCAGCCTTGCAGAAAGCAAGTGACTTTGACCCCGAGCAGAATCAGTATAGTCTTGGGCACTAGACAGACTGGTCCCTAACGCACAGGCACAAAACATCTACAATCCACAAACAACTAGATGAATGAATAGATACAGAAACAAAGCGGCAAACATCAATCACTCAAAAAGCAAGATGACCACATGAATCCATACATGAATGCACAAGTAAAGCACTTGTAGAAGCACCACTCATCCAGACAGAAAAATCATACAATGCACCCGTCACCAAGTTGCTGCGATCCTTGGTCGACGGAGACGAGCCATCGGTAACGCCTTGTTTTTTTTTTCGGAATGCCTCCAGTCACCAGTTCCACGTAGTTCCACCCAGTGGGATTAGCTGGTTGTGATTTTCGTGTTCTAATTTTGCTATATCAAAATATATCAAATAGCCCAGTGTTGTTTTCCGAATCATGAACGATCTATGTGGCTGTTTCTTGTGTGGAGCTACTGACTGTGCCTTGCGCACTGCAGTTGTTGGTCGATGCTTCTGTGTCAACACATGGAAACCATCGACCAACACCTGTGTTTCTGCGTACTTTGTGCTGCTCTCTATCACAATAATTGAAACTTGAGCCAACCTGCGATTCGCAGATTCACTGAGTCCATTGACATGCAAAAAGTTCAACTTCAGCAAGGTATGAAACAGTCATGTACAGAAAACACATCAACCCATCAACTGTACCAACTATGCTGGTTGCTAAAAATGGGCATTCCCATTAAATATTTCATAATTTTAATAGATTGCGATATACAAAAATCATCAAAAATCATGAAACATCCCCAATCCTTTACAAGAATCCTCAATCCTTCAGCCACGTATAGCCGCCTGTCGCCCCCTGTCGGAAAAAACGGCTGGGCGCTCCCGCTCCGGCCACCCTTCGCCGCTCCGGCGATCTGAGCTCCAGATACAATGGGGATATAAGGGGAATGTCATGAGTAATGGGCTATGAAACTAACATCAACCAACAATATACTACAATATATACTAATTATATATATATATTAAATATTATTAAATTGTGTTAATATATATATATGATACCTTTCCCCTTAAAAAAATCCGGAACATCGGCAGGCTGTTTTGAAACTAGATGGGGAACTTATAGCATTGAAACCACCAGCCACTGAGTCACTTCCAGCAAGGCCCCGCCTCTGATACGGCGGATAAATCATGGATGTGGCCCAACGTACCTTGCTGCAACCACCAAACCTTCGGTGCCTATGGATATCTATGGATGTGGGTATGGATCAATACCTATTAATACCATTTTTAGGGGGATGAACATCCATTTACCAGCTATTTTGGGGTTCACTAGGTACCAGGGTTTTGACACACTGCCATGTGATGCCGGTTTCATCCGGTTTCTATGTGAACAGAACTTCAACAACGCCACTGGTGAGATCTACTCATCCTTCCAAGGCTCCGACCCCGAGCGCCGGAGCTGGTGAAGCCGGACGGCACAGCTCGGTGGCGCCGGGCAAAGCTGCGGTAGATCACTGGTTGGTTGTCCCATCAATGGATAGATGACTGGTTGGTTACAACTGTTTATACAATAGCTACAATCTATATTTAATCTGGGTAAATTATAATATTTCACAAACCTCAATTAAGGCCATTTGGGGATCATTTCCCTTACTAACCATGATTCCAGTGAGGTCGCAGTGAGGTCATTATATAATTTACCCAGATTTAATACACCATCAATATTGTATTGGATAGATTATACGCACCATATTGGGAATACTATGGTATACTCTTGGTTGGTTTGTTGTTTATTTTTATTTATTTTCCACGTTTCCCTTCATTTAGGCCATGAAATGGGGACATGGGCGATTTTGGAAGCCCTCCCTCATTTTGGAAACACGCGCACACATAATCATATATGTACATATATATATATATATTACAGTATATATATTTATACCTGCAGACTTTCCTTTTCTCTACTTTCTCTACAGGTTTTGCCCGGCAATAATCGACTTGGCAAAGTGGGGCAAAAAAAAACAGCTCAATGGTGGCATTCATGATGCCCACATCTTGTAAATCCACTCCCACTCCCAGCCACTTTGCACGATGGCGCTCAGGGGTGAATGGCCTTTGGCCATTGTGGGTTGTGAGACAATTTGGCGCTCATCGACTGTTTCCAGCTTTGCTAAACCTTGTTCGAGCGTCTTGCGAATCGGTTTTTGGTTGCCACCCCTCGAAACAAAATATGACAGTTGCCTGGGCACTTTGATACGCATGACCTTCAACCATGCCCCATAAGAGGGTGTATGTAAACGACAATTAATAGACAATAATAATAGATTCTAAATGACGCTAATGATGGGATGTTCAGTCCCACAGAACTTTTTGAGAACACGCCTCCACCATTTTGCTGAGGCACGGATCACAGTGCATCGTTGACATGTAGTTGTCTGCATAGAGCGTGATGTCGCAGAACCTCATGGCGTAGCAATGCAGCGGAGTGGAGTCAGCCTTGATGATCAACTAATCAACTGAGTCACGTCTTGGGCCTGTAGAACCTGGCAGGAACGAGTTTGGGAATGGGACAAAATCAAAGGCGTCCCAACGGACACACAAACATTGATCAAATTTGGTCAATTAGCGCATCCTTTTTGGGAGATTCATCATTTTAATCCGTCTCCATTTCTTGAACTCCAACACGTTTGCAAGTACAGTGTCTGACCTTCGCAGTCAATACTACCGCCCCACCCTATGTCCAACAAAGAATTCAACATCAGCTGCGCACCAAAGCTCTGGAACCATCCACAGAAATCCCCGAACTTCTCAAGGTTTCTCCATGGCATTTTTTGGGATCCCCCTGTGAATTCCAGAAGTATGGTGGGCCGGACCAGGTTTCTGGATGTCGACATCCGAGCTTTTTTTTGGGGAAATAGGCCGGGGGATTTTTTGATATGGGGATGGGTCAAAACCCTGGTACCTAGTGAACCCCAAAATAGCTGGTAAATGTATGTGGTATTAATAGGTATTGATCCATAGCCATATTTTTTGGGTACCTTAAAACGGCAACTGCGCGGTGCCAGATCCCGAGCCTATTGTTATTCAGCTGCTTGAGACGGTGATCAGGTGGTGCCCGTGGCAGGCTCCGATCCGCTGCTAAGCCTTGATACCATGGAGGTACACCTATCATGATACCATGGAGGTACTTTGGTACCTCTACATCGAAAACAAACAAGGACATGCACTGCACATACATAAATATATCTATATTATATATCTATACCCATGTCTGTATCCATATATGCACATATAACATATATATATATATATATGTCATTGTATATACTATATCATATAATTATCATATAATTACAGTAGTTTCATCATATAACTGACATGAAGCCTGACATGTACTCCAGCTGTTTGGATCTTGTTTCCATGGCACTGTGGAGCCCGGCTCGGCATGGACCGGCTTTTCGGCCTTGCAACGTCGTAAAGAGTCTGAGTGATAAATTATTTCTAATAAAGACTTGTGTAAAAATTAAGTAGATTCTATAAGGACACCATAGGACACCCATGTATTATATATATATATATCATTTCTATATTATGTCTAACTGCTGTTGGATGTTGTCCTTTCAAGTACTTCGAAGTATCACAGCTCTGGGGACACGCACGGCTTGCAGAGTCCCAGGGCTTCGGCCTCCGGATACCTGCCATGACCCGACCATGATCCGACCATTGATCCATGGGAAACTCCCCAGCCATTCTCAACGGTTTTTCCCATGTTTTTCCCATGTTTTTCCATGCTCCAAGGCATTTTGCCAAGCACCCGACCGTTTCCGCAACTTGGCTTGCTCTACAGCCCTAGCACCTGAAGCAACCGACCCTTTTCTTCGGAGTCGCCAGTGTCCAAGGCAGCCAAACATAGCCAGACTATGCCAAACGTGTCACTTTGCCGTGTCTTTCGTGGATGTAGAAGGTTGGAAGAACATGGCTTTAGCTTGCGACACTCCATTGGAGTTGTGTCAGTTCCATTCAGTTCCCACAGTCGCACTGAGATCACTGAGGGAAAAACTGCTTCCAGTGGCAATCAACCAGCCGATTTCCTGCGACATCATGAGGCCTTTGGTGGCTTAAACTCATGGTGCCCCTTCCAGGTCATGAAATTGAAGAATGACAGGACTGCGTCCCTCAATTGGCAATTGTAGGATTGAACAATGATGACTAACTGACTAACCAATGGATTTAGGGGTACCCAAGTTTCACTCAAACCCAAATATCTTTGAATCATATCAGGAATCATCAGGAATCTGGTTCCAAGGCTGCTGAATTATCAGAAAAAACAAGATATTATAAAATCATCCCATTCATCCCCCTAATCTTTACACACCCCCATTCTATGGTCCCAAACACGTGTTTTCAATCTCCTACATCCACCATGGGTTTCTACCCGCATTCGTCCTGAGCCCTGGTGCAGGGGATGTCCCACTTCTCCGGAGGTTTCTGCAGCGATGGCACAGCTGGAAATAAAACGAAAACTTCATGCAACTGCTGTAAATGACCTACAAAATCCTACAAATAAGATCAGTATAAGATCAATTAAGTGTAGATAAGTGTAGATGTCTCTGGCCTCCCAACTGAGAGTAAGAGAAAAAACATCATCAATGTGAAGAATTCATGGTGAAATTGACACCCAACACCCTAAACGTCTCACTATCCCCAACGCAGCAACCGCGCAAGCGCACAATGGCAGGCCTTGAGAGTGTGCATCAAAGCGTTGTAATCGAAACTGTTCTTATCGCCTTCAGCCGACCTTGGGACCACAATCACAGTAAAGTTTCAACCCACACTTTTGTTTCGAAGTCAACTTTGGGTCAGCTTCAAAATAGTAAGATGGACACATTCAACAGGACAAGTTACAAGTTGGTTTATAAACCAATTAACAATAGTTGCGCCATGTTGTATCCCTCAGAGCTAACCAAGTGATAAATCAACATTCAGCCAACAATTTCACACCACAATTTCAGATGCACCAAGGCATTGTGGTTTTAGATTCTGGGCCGCTCACATGATCGCCTGTGGCGTGTTTTTCTCCACCTGTCCATGAAGTCGTCATCCAAACAAGATCTCTTGTTGGTAAGTCAACCAGGAGTAATACTAGGGGTATGCCCATCGCCGAATCTGGTTAATTTAATGTTAAGTTCATGTTTTATCAAAACACATGTATATATAATACAATATGAAATACATTATGAAATATAGTATATATACACACATATTTGTATATATATATATATATCAACATATAATATGATGAATGATATGAAAATAAATGAATAATATGTGTATATATATATGTATATCATTATATATCTAATATAATTTGTAATATGCTCTACAAAACCCCTCATAGACACACATAGCAAATAACTAATAGCTAATGCTATTACTAATCACTGATATATACCAATAGGTACTAACAAATACTAATATTTCATAATTTCATAGTATCCTAAACCGCTCTGACCCACCTTGGGAGCGATGATTTCTAACCGACTATGACCTCAGGCCGGTCACGAAGGGTTGCACCAATGCCATCTCGGAGTCTTGGCGTGCCCATGGGGAAGGGCCAAAACAACAATATCTACCACCCCTTCAAAAGGACAATTAACGATAACTAGCGATTAATAGTGATTAATACGAAACATTAAGCAATTTTCTGGGTCCAATAGATCGAACAGTCACTGATTTTGAGAGAAAACATGTGGATCCATTGGGAATATTTGGTCATTGGTACCCCAAATGACGACTAGCCCATCTGAAACCACCAAGTCACGATGCTGCAAGGCCTCAGTGGTTGAAAAATCAGGGATTCCAAAACTGACAACGACGAGTTTACCTTTGGTTAATGACGCTTAAAATTCCAGAATCCATTTGTTAATGATGGTTAATGATGGTTACCTTTGGTTAATAATTGTTAATGAATCCATTTGTTTATGATGGTTAATGATGGTTACTGACCCAACCCTACAAACTATTGAAATGTCGAGTCGGGTCACTGTGATTAACTTCACTCAATGTCCAGCCTGTGGCAGCCTGTCCCACCAAAACATGTCCACAAAACAAAAACTAACAGTTTCAGTGAAATTGCGACAATTTCACAGTCAAACAACAATTTCTACGTATGCAAGAACTCGTTTTTTATGGTCAATTTCCTGTTGTGTGTGGCCCTCCGATTCCGACAAAAATCTGGCCCAAGGTCCAGAATTCTTTGCAAACATCAACAAAAATGATGCAACTTCAGGTCATTTTCAACTATTTTCAGCACGAACTGCAACTTCTATGTTGATTCTACGTATGCAATATGACCTTCTGCTTCTGGCCCTCAGGCTCACACAGATCCAAGCCAGGCACACAATCCCCAAAACCTTCTGTCGTTTTTTTTTTCCGTTTTTTTTCCTTTTTTTTTCCTAAACACATCCTTATTGAGACAAAATTGAAGCGACGACGTAAGTGCAATTCTAGGCGCCCAGTGAAAAAACCAACCATGCGCCCCTCTGAGTCCACGAAATTTGGCAATAGAATCGTATTGTCACATTAACTGGCTTATAAAAGGCTGGTTGGTGGTATACCTATATACCCGAAAAATATGAAAGTCCAAGTGGAATGATGAAATTCCCAATATTATTCCATTGATTCATCTATCTAATCCATCCGAAAGCGGCCCCCTCGGCCGCCAGACGCAGAAATCCCCTAACCTCTGGGCATTTGCCAGGTTCATGACCTTGGTGCGATGGGAATTCCAACCGATGGTGCTTTTAGTTAAGGGGATTTAACGGGTACATACATACATATACATATATAATACATATATAATACATAATATGGTATAAATACAAATTGTGGTGTATATATATAATTACAACTAATATCAACTAATCACATATTCAATACCCCTCGTGTAAACTAAGATAGATGTGGAAAAAACATGGTTTCGGAACGGGAATGATGTACAAATCGTAGAATTTCTACATCTACGTAAACGTTTACAGGAGGGTAGTATGTGGGAGAGAGAGAGAGATATAGATAGATAGATAGATAGATAGATAGATAGATAGATAGATAGATAGATAGATAGATAGATAGATAGATAGATTAGATAGATAGATAGATAGATAGATAGATAGAAAGATAGAAAGATAGATAGATGGATGGATAGGTAGGTAGGTAGGCAGATAGGTAGATAGGGTAGATACGGTAGATAGGGTAGATAGGGTAGATAGGGTAGATAGGGTAGATAGGGTAGATAGGGAGATAGGTAGATAGGTAGATAGGTAGATAGGTAGATAGGTAGATAGGTAGATAGATAGATAGCTAGATAGATAGATAGATTAGGTATAAAACTATATATATATGCTTTGTGGTAGTTTTTTATGCTACCCTCTGGTGACGTGGAGTAATTTGCGAATTTAAAGCAATGAACTATGGCTGGTTTGATGATTAACCTATCAAAACGTTGCGTTTTTCCAGTTCGCGAACTGTTAAATCACCAGGGGGTATTTATTTCATCATGATATAGCAGCAGCCAGCATGTATCGCCTATATGATATTAACAAAGAAGTTTTAGAAGTCTATACTTCCGTTTTACGGAAAATATGACCCCCAATCACCACACAACATCATCACATCACCACATCGCCACATCACAGCATCACCGCAATCACCACATCAACTCATCACCTCATGGCTACATCACCACATCACCACATCACAGTCGAATTGCTTTGGCATGGTGAAGCTGGTGAGGATGGAACCGAACGAAGCCCTATGTTTTCTCGCGCAAAGTGCCTCGCGGCGTCGATGTGGGGAACCTAGTTTGTGTGTGTCAGGTGCGGCTTTGCGCGGGGATGTGCGCAGATGTCCTTGGACGCATCCTCCATGCTAAAGTTGATTATGAAGAAGGTCAATGAGATGATTGAGTGCGCTGTGACATTGTTTTTGGTGATCCAGGCTTGCAGTTTGCATTACTGCTTTGCGCAAGCTTTGCCGTACAAAGTATTACTGGGAAGTGCTTTGTGCAAGCTTTGTAGTGCAAAGTAGTGCTGGAGAGTGTTTGGTGCAGCTTTGTGCTACAAAGTAGTATTGGGACTTTGTAGTATTGGGAAGTACTTTGAAAAATGGATGCCAGGAGAAAAAGATGCCGAGAAAGACATGAGAATGAAAAATCACCTCAAGACAAAGGAGATGTCAAGACAGAAGGTCCCTCAAGGGAAAGCAGTTTCAACAGAAAGAAGCCCCAAAGAAAAAACATGTGAAAACAAAAGAATACAAGAAAAAATGTGTCAAGAGAAAATGTCAAGAGAAGGTCTCAAGAAAAAGATATGCCAAAAGATAGGGATGCCAAGGGAAAGAGACGCCAACGGAACCCGGCTGAAAAGACATCGGTGTCAATAAAGAGTGATGACATCAGAACAACATTGTCAGGAAAGAAGGGTGTCAAGTCCCGGGCTCTACTTGTATATCGCCGATTCTATGATTATGATGTATATATATATACGTATAATTAATCAGAATACGGCTATGGCTCAATAAGCCATGGTTGGATATCCTGCGAACATGCTTATCATCAAAACAATGTGATACAGTGTGATATTACAATATGCTAATTATATTTTTCCATCACAATGTCTTGATCTGATTCATGCGGTTCATATCCTAACGAGATGCCTTGGAAACCTCTGGTTGATTATGTGGTTTGATAGTTGGGGATAGATCCCAATTTTAGAACGGTTACCTTCCAGTATTCAAACGCGGCTTGCTAGAAATCTCCATTTATAGATGATCTTCTTATTAGATTCCCAATCTATACAGGATTTTCCAGCTAGCCACGTTTGCTGACATCAAGGGTCAATCCCTATAGTTGATGGTGAAATACAATGATATTCCCATGATATGCACATAGTATATCCTATGTTTGACTATTAAGCCAGCATTACCAGTAGTACCGCACATGGCGGTGGCGGAAGTTTTCAAAGATAGGACACTATAGGAGAGGCGAGTTGTTGTGATGCATGGACGGCAGAGCGAATCCACTGATCGACCGAAAGGTGGTTGGCGCTGTGTTTTTTGGAGTGGCTGCAATAGTTGCAGTGGTCACCTCACCCACAACTGGTGGATGTAGTGTAGTGAAGTGCAGCTGTAGTTGTAGTTATAGTGTAGTGGAATTGTAGTTGTAGTGTAATTAGTGCGGCGCAGTTGCAGTTGTAGTTGTGGTGTGGTGTATTGAGTGTAGTGCAATGTAATATAGTGTAGTGTAGTGTGCTGTAGTGTTGCGTGCTGTGGTTTAGTCTAGTCTAGTCTAGTGTAGTGTAGTTTTGTGTAGTGTGGTGTAGCGGATTGTAGTGTAGTGTAGTGTAATGTAGTGGTAGTTGTAGTTGTAGTTGTCGTTGTAGTTTTAGTTAATGTAGCGTAGCGTAGCGTAGTGTAGTGTGGAGTAGTGTAGTGTTAGTGTAGTGTAGCGTAATGTAATCAGTGTAGTGTAATGTAATTAATGTAGTGTAGCGTAATGTAGTTGTAGTTGCAGTTGTAGATATAGTTGTAGTGTAATTAGTGTAGCGTAGTGTAGCTTAATGTAGTGTAGTTGTAGTTGTAGTTTTAGTTGTAGTTAGTGTAGTGTAGTGTAGTGTTGTAGTGTAGTGTAATGTAATTAGTGTAGTGTAGCTGTGGCGGTAGTGGTAGTTGTAGTGTAGTGGAAGGTAGTGATGGTTGTAGTTGAAACTGCCACAGAACCCTCATGTTTTGCTCACTTATGGCAAGGTGCAGAATCTCTTGTGCCTGCCACGCAAAACGACATCTGAACGTCCAAAAGTGCTCCAAACCCTTCAGTTTTTCCACTTTTGACTTCGAAATGTGCTTCGCGCCACAACGGCGTGCACTATTTCGACATCTCAACTTCCAAAAGTGGGTCCAAACCTGGTGTGTTTTATACATTTTGACTTGGAAACGTGCTTCGCGCCACAACGGCGTGCACTTTTTCGACATCTCAACTTCCAAACGTGGTCCGGGAATGGTGTGTTTTGTACATTTTGACTTGGAAAGGTGCTTCGCGCCACAACGGCGTGCACTTTTTCGACATCTCAACGTCCAAAAGTCGTCCGACGTTGGTGTGCTTTGTGCATTTTGGCTTGGAAATGTGCTTCATAAACGGCGTGCAACTTGTCATCTCTCATCTGACCGCATGGCTCCGCACCAGCCGCTTTATTGAGCCTACTTCTCGAACCTCCGGAGCCACACATCATTGGTAAAACACAGTGTTTCGCGACTTTCCTACCTTTTCGCGCACCTGCTTCTTCTTTCTTCTCACTCTTAGTCCTCTCTCATCTTCTCTCTTCGGCTCTTCTCCTCTCTGGCTCTTCCCACCTCTGCTTTTCCATCTGTCCATATTGTCGGAAGTTTGACTTCTAAACTTCCTTTGATTATCCATTTATATTCATCAGTTTTCCACTATAGCAACTCCCAAAAGGATGCTGAAAAGTGTTTCCAGGATGTTGTAGATGATATTTGCTTCATATTTCCAGGTTTCCCGCCTTTCTATCTTTTAATTAGGCGGCTAGTATTTGATCAATTTAATCAATTTATTCCATTATATATTCCATTTAATCCTATTCCACCCATACATATATATATATAGACATATATATATGTATATTCCATGATCAACATACCATCCATATTCCATTCATATACCATTAACAGTAACATTAATCAGTATGAATATTAAACACTATAGTATACTATTCACCATCAACTATAGTGGTTATCCCATTGATATTCCATTATCCCATTAATTAATAATGGAATATTCGTATAGTTAATCATTATCCCAGTAATATCCCATGAATGATAGTTGAGTATTCCATTAAACTCAGCCAATTTTTTGGATCTCATACTGGGTCTCCTACAAAAGGCTGTGGGCCTGGATTGGAATCCCTTGCCTCGGAGCCGCAAAGCATGGTGGATCAAAATCATGGACCCTCCTAGACGCGACCAAGTTCTGTTCTTTTCAGTGATCTTTAAATCATCTGTGGCAGATTTGGGGAATTCCAAGTCTGGAAATCAAGTAATCATATCCAATTCTCACATCAGATCGCAGCTTTCCACGCCGTCCAACGTCCCAAGCCTCCTGGTAGAGCCTGGTTTCTTTGTCTAAGGTTTCCTGCCAGGACGGAGATCCGGGGCGTATGTAAAATTTCAAGGTGGCTCAAGTCATTCCATGAGCTACCCCACTCATCAAATCATACCTTCACCCCATGAGCCACTCACCAGCTGGGCCTTCCAGATGCACTCTGCGGAAACTCGGTCGATATAGTGAGGGATGCCTCGACGCGCCGCTGGAAAACGTCCGATTTTCTGATTTGAACAACTGGAAATTCTGGAAGCACATCAACCATCAAAACCCCATCAACAACCATCAACAACCGTGACAAACCATCAGCAACCATGAAAACTGAAAACCCATCAACAATCATCAACCATCATCAAATCAACACAACCCACAACAAACCAACCGTTTCCCCCGACTGTTCAAGTCATCTGCCTGGAAGCATCCCTCTTGTCGTGGACGTTGGCTTGGATGGATCCATGCTGCCACCTACCAGTAGCAACTCCAGGCTACATGTTGACCAAATATGATCGCACACACATACACGTATATATATATATATATATCATATATAAATATAATTATCATTAATTACCCGCAATATCCACATGAATCCACACATCATCATAATGTTATTCGCTTCAACTCACCTTGACTTCACACGTGGCATGTCCTGATTTCTGCCCAGCTATGGCCTCTGTACTGGACGTCTCAATGTGGCTTGAACCAGGCAGCAGTGACATGGTGCTGAAAGGGGAAGCTGCAGCTGAGAGCGTGCCACATCACACAACCCTGAGTTGTTGGTCCCAAACCTCTGGAAGGCTAACAGCTAGCTGCTCTTTTTGTAGCTCCTAACAGTCTACATTGAAACCTTTCCGGCTGTAACAAAACGGCAGAGCCAAACACTTTGGTAAGGCCACTTTTCAACGAATCTGTGTACATGGTTGCCAACCCGGCAACCCAGTTGCCCCATGGGACCTGGCCATTTCAGCCCAACACTGAACCGCTGGTTTGCAAAATGGAGCGCTTCCGGGAGAAGGTGCTGCTGCTGATGCTCCCGCCACAAGGAATCCTGGCACAACAGCTGGTATACCGGTCCAAAGGTCATCAAATAGGGAATCTGATAATTAACCGGTGGGACCCCAGGGGTACCCATATCCGGGGGTTTAAGCAGATCATTGGATGACTTAGCCCCGTTAGATCCCCCTCAATGCAATGAGGATCTGAGCATCCATATATATATATACTGGTTGGTGGTTTCAACCGCTCTGAAAAATATGAAAGTCAGTTGGGATTATCAGTCCCAATATGTGGAAACATAAAGAATGTTCCAAACCACCAACCAGTATATATATATAACCGCTACTTAGTACCTTATCCCCTTCACATCGATGGCTGGATCCCCATGTCTGTTGCTTCAGCCTCTATTTTTCTTCATGAAAAACCACAATTTTGGTTGGTGAAGTCACCTCAAATACACAAATATCATGAACACACTCATTGAAAATCCATGAGCCTCCATAAATCCTATGGTCAAATCCCCAATTGTTATCCATAAAACACCAAATTGTTATCAATAAAATCCAACTTTTCCCCATACATCCCATGGCTAAATCCCCTTTGGCGTCCTCTTCAGCTGGAACTCCAGCGGCTCCGCATCCGTGTCGATGCCGGACTCATTGGCCTGGATGGGATGGGGGGTCAGTCATCCTGGAGATGAAATATATGATATGTGGTTGAGCCAATATATGACATAGGACATATGAACCATGAAAATCTATGAAATATGATATGCTTATTGAATGTATATAAAATATACATCTCTTTCTTTCTCTCTCTCTATATTATATACAGATTATATATATATACATACACAACTATACAATTTGATGCTAGATTGATGTTGGGCGCCAAAACGCCAAAACGCCTGGATGATCTCACTCATGAGGCGACCGGCGACACCGGCATTCTTGAACTGGTTGCCACTGGTACCGATCGCCATGTAGAAACCTTGGGCTGAAGCATGGTGAACCCTACAGTCATCCATACACGGATGTAGGAAAGTAGCTATGTCACAAGCTATCAAATATATTCAGTGTATAGTGTCAACCTCGGATTCAGAACCCCTAGTCTGTTTAATTGGGGATATTGGGGGTAGTACCACCCATTTATTCATCCCGGCTCCATGTTGAGGAATAGCTGAGTATAGTAACCCTGCCTGGCAGTGCTGATTTATCGTAGATTGGCACCCAATCCTGCCAGGATGGTGCCTTTGCAAGAGCTGAAAACGCATCTAGATATCTATATCCTGCTGCACACACACACATATATATATACAGAACGAACTTTCCAAGATGACTGGAGTTGACTCATTGTCATGACATTCGTTTCGTCCTCGGTGACATCGTAGCACGCAGCACAGCCTTGCGCATTCCCTGCTTCCGGCAACGGCAACGTTGGAATCCGCAGCGCCAAGCGATACACCTGGCGTCGATGTCGATGTCATGGGTTAGTAAAATCCAACGCCAAAGGTGACACCCCAGTAGTTGGTTATAGCTGGTTCAGCCCCCAATTTCATAGCTGGTTGCTACAAGGGCCACTATCATAGGGAGTCACCTGAAGTGGAGTGTTCCCCATCAAATGGGAATGGAAGGAAAATATGCTGGGAACAACCCGGCTCTTTGGGAAAGTGGCTATGCGTAATTTTCGCACTGTATATACTGTAACTAGCTTCATCTGGCTTCCAGGAATGTTGCAGTATTTCAGTATATGCCAATCATTGTTGCACAAAACATGAAAGCTAAAGGAGCTCAACTGATGCAAAACCATCACCCATCAGCGCCCATCCATCCCCCAACTTCCGTGGAAGTCCACTCCAAGTAGACCTGGTTGGTCCACTGGTCCGTGAGGGAAGCCAATTCGCCACCCGGATACACCGCCTGTGCGTCACCAATTTTCAGGGATCTTGCCAAAAATAACCTGGACATGTTCAAATGACATTCAGCCAAATCCAACAAATTTCGTGATCTTTTGAGTAAATCGGACACTTTCATGTTAGATATAAAGGAGTATAACGGTCTCCCGCTGTTTCCTTTACACATTCATCTTCGAACTTCACCACTTCACCGCAAGGGAACTCAGCTCACCTCGGGATCTGATGGATAGATGTGGAAGTCCTGGTCACAGGAGGGTTCAACACCTCCGACCAGGATCTTGCCGCCCACTTCCGGCCTTGCCAAGCGACAGGATGGTTACCTTGAAGACCGATTTTACGAGAGTTGGATATGGGATATAAGGCATGTGCCTAAAAACATCTATAAAAATAGCTATGATAAATCATAGTGACACCAAATATGCGGCAGGATACTACAACTACATACAAATACTGGAGTGGTAGGACTGGGTAAGACTCCATCACGCGAGATTCTACGATATGACTTCTCGATATTACAGAAAACAATGATACAATCATCCGAGTTTCTCAAAATTCCATCGTGTTCATCCTAGAACAAATCCGACACTGTCAATATTTCAGGTTCATCCCATGATAACGATAATAGAGATATATAAGGATTGTTTCATCCACATCCCAATCCCAACAATCCCAAAGTCCCCAGGGCGCCGGAAGTAGACCCCCGCGTCCATGTCGGTGCACACCAATCCTTCCCCACCATCGTCCCAGGAGACTTCCGGTGGAGAGGACACATAAGCCACCTCCTGCGTGCCATGACTGGGGGTTTTCCATGGGGGTACCCCAATAGCTGGATGGTTTATATACATGTTTATTTCATGGAAAATCCGAACATAACATGATTTGGTAACCCTGTTTTAGGAAACCCTGATATCTCCTGAGGAGCCATTAACCATGGGAGAAATGGATAGAAATGGAACATCTCTTAGAAGAAATGGGAAACCATGGAGGAGAATCAATGAACATCTATAAAAATAATGTCATCCAACAGTCGTCCATTCATGCAATCATTTGCTGGGTAGACTGAACGGTTGGACTACTTGCTGGAAGAAAAAAGGAACACAATGAACAAAATATGGAAACCGGGAAACTCTATGGACACAAATTCAAACAACCATCAAAAAGGTGGCAAAACAAAAACAAATGGGGAAACACATGATAAAACATGTGGGAAACACATAAACAACAAAACATCTAGGGAGAGAAACATATGGACACCAAGAATCATCAAGGATCAACATATACCAAAATATATCAACACAAACCAAAATATTTCAGTAGGATTTTCCAAATTATAAACCATCCAACTGGTGTAATCCCATTTGTGGAACCCTCCATATATCAAAATGCCATTGTGTCCAACCGTTGCGGTCATCGCCTGTCGCATGGCCCGGGTGGAGATGGTCATGTCATTTGACACCGAGTCCAGCGCCATGGCGGTGATCTGCGAGGAATGTGGTCCTGCCACGTTCACCACCACCGGGGCCTCCAGCTCCGCACCAGAGGTCAAGCGCACACCTGGACGCACCAAGGTAGGGGGACATGGCAGGGATGATATCTTTGGAAAGTGGCCATAGATTAGCATATAGTAGGAATATAAAAAATGGAACGTTATAATTTTTAGCATATAGTGGCCATATATTATATAATGTTCTAAAAAATGTCCCTACCAATAGGACAGACTTGTGGCATGAGGAAGTATTGGTACAAACGTCTGGAACATCTTCAGGTTCAAGGATTGGCGGTAGGGAATTCATCGATGAATTGAACACATAAATGGGATCAAATGTGTTTACAAAATTGGGGTACCAGTGCAACTACAAATATGTCGTTTTTTTTTTTAGTCTCACACATATATAGATTATATATATATATAGATTATATATATAACACATTAAATATGCCGACTATCATTTTTTCGGCGGGAGTGGAGAATCTTGAGCTCAACTAATTTAGGGAATGAGCACTATTTTTTCAAACAACTGAAATTGATTTCCTGAAGTTAAACATAAAAATGGGTTAACCAACCGCAATCTTTAAACATATGAACATATATGAGCCATGTCAAATCCTGTTAAATCATCATGAGCCATACGCAACTGGATTCGTCTGAAATAGGGTACCGAATCCGATGGGTTATCACCACTTTCCCTATTCAAGCAAAGTTCACATTCATTTGGTTACTATCTCTCGATAATAAGAATCCAATGCTACCATCCCCAAAACCGTTTCCCATCAAATGACTCTCTATATGGCTGCATACATAAATATAAACCAATATTGTCCCAATATTATCCCATCAACAATTTTCTTGGTCGTCAATCCACATTCATATTAAACCATGATTACATACGTACATTTCCCAACGGCTGGTGATAATAATCCATTGTATCCCACTAACACTAACTATATAATTTATATACATGCAACTGGGATAATATCGTTTACCAATGATATTTCTAATGTATTGTTGCCTATTGCGGATATGCACCACATACCGGGTTCTTCAAAAAACAGCCGTCCCATGAAGTACCACACCACAGAGGTCATGTCCCCCCGTCCCCCAATTCAATGTTGTCTTCTGAATTTTGTGTTTGGTGGCCTTCAAAAAAACAGCCATTTATGTTGATGGTGCTCGGCACTTCCGATCACAACATTGAAGTTAGGGGTTGCGGGGGTAAGCAAGGTATCTCTCTGGTTTCCTCTGGATGGCTGTCTTTCTTGAAGAACCCGGTGGGTTTTTTTGGTTCTGAGTTTTTTTGACTGTTGTTGATATGCATGTGGATGTAGATCACCGCACACACACATACACATCCATGCGACAACATCAGCTTCTGAAATTTACGCATTGTCAAAGCATGCGCTTCTGTAATCTCTGTAATCTGTGACAGCCCAGTAAAGGTGGGTGCTAAGGGCCAACCATCAGCTTGTGAAATTTACCCAAGGTTGATGTCAAACCTTATTCTATACAATATGCGACGACCCCACGAAGGTGAATGCCACGAGCCACCACCACAATGTAATTTATTGCAGATCCAAGGCGCTCAGCTTCCAAAGTCTCGCCCCTGCCACCTACAACTCTTGCGCCTGCCACGATTTTTTCTGCTTCCCTACTTCAGGGGTGTGATTTGCCAATGCAACGCACATGCAGCTGCTGCAGCACACATGCAGCACACATGCAACACGAGCTTTTTTACCTGTAAATTTACAGTCAACGTGAAGGATTTGACGTTTGCAGCCCCAACTCCAGTCTTAGAATGGAAAGTGTAGATTTTTGCCTCCGCGGCCACTTTGCTTGGAATTTACAGGGAAAATGCTCGTGTTGCATGTGTGTTTCATGTGTGTTGCATGTGTGTTGCATATGCGTTGCATTGGCAGGTGTGCAGGATAGAGGGGTCACGCTCTCAAAGTGGCGCGCCTGCCACGCAGAACGACAGCCAGTGCACCCCGTGACATTGCGGAATCAGGTCAAAAAGGTGTCAAGACTTTCGCTGTCTGTGTTTCACTTAGCACAACCCATATTGGCACATATGCGCACGCGCAAGCAAACAGACACATCCACAAACAAACGCCCGCCCAAACTGATCCCGATGCTTTCTCTGATACAGTGTCGTCATCATTCTTGCGTTTGTCTGCAGCCATGGGTCAATCCTATTGTGTCTTTTCTGAGTCCGGGTTCTTCAAAAAAACAGCCATCCCATGAAGTACCACACCACAGAGGTCATGTCCCCCCGTCCCCCAATTCAATGTTGTCTTCTGAATTTTGTGTTTGGTGGCCTTCAAAAAAACAGCCATTTCTGTTGATGATGCTCGGCGCTTCCGATCACAACGGGGGTTGCGGGGGTAAGCAAGGTATCTCTGTGGTTTCCTCTGGATGGCTGTTTCTTTTGGAAGAACCCGGCATTATTGGGATATCTTCCCAGTAATATTATATCCCTGTTGCTATACATATAAATATATATCTATAGTCCGTTATATCCACTATATCCCAATAACAATTCCATGATAATCCATTCTATATGCCCCAGTTGCTGATGATAATCCATTATAGTATCATTCTATGAAATCATTGAACTCATCCAGTATAATGACACATAACCCATAACAACTCGCAACTGCTATAGCATATCTTCCCAGTATAATTCCATTACAATCCATCCATGATAGTAAAGCAATATCGATGATCATAATCCATTCTACAGTATATGTCCCAGTTGCGATGATAATCCATAGCCATTAGAGCCATGAAAAATACTATTGATACTGCTGGATCATCCATAACTATGATTATCCAGTATGGCTTGTTATCCTTCACAATATACATTAACAAAGAGAAACATGGATGATCCATTGCTATCCATTACTCATAACTGATGGATCCATATCCCCATCCGATCTCCACGGCACCACCAACTCCTCCGTTGCGCCGCAGGATCTCGCTGACGCTTTGGCCAAAGAGGAACTCGGCACGGCCTGTGGCCTGCTGTGAAAAATGGGGACCCTGGGGATCCCCAAGAAATGGATGGATTATCTGATGGATTTACGGTATATGTGTTACAATATGGTTTAAGAGTGGTTGATGTGATTTAATGTGTAATAATTGCGGATATTGCTTGGTGAATGCTGTGAAATGCATGAAGACACCTGTCAAATTTGGATCATACACGTTCAAAACAACAAGAATGGATGGCCGGATGAGTGTATTACTCTAGGCATGCTTCAACTATATTTTTTGTTGAAGGTATTGCATGAAGGATGTGCTGAATTGTCGGACACACACACAACATCAATCAAACAAATCCGTTTTTGGTAACAAATGGTCTTGGGGGGTCCCATTTGTTCAGAAGATTTTTTAAGATATTAGAATACAACCTCTGGATCTTACTGGCAATCAGAACATGATTTCCTATCAGACATGAGTGTTTTTCATTGCCATCTTAGCTGGTTTCACAGGGATTCCTAGCTCATCGAAAATGAACGTGATTGATAACCTCTAAAATATACAAGGGCAGCCTATAACCGTCAACCAACAAACACACATTGTACTGGTGGCTAAATATCCATCATATCCCACTATATCCTGACAATATGCTCATTATATCCCCATTATACCGTCTACCCTCATGATACCACCACAATTCTACCCTCATGATATCCTCATTGTCTTCTTGTTATATCCATCCATATTATACCCCATAAAAATGGTTATATAATCAAAACATATATAAATACATAAAGAAAAACATATAAAAATAATCACCAACCAGCCGGGCTTTTGAAACCATGGGCTACCCACCTCCGCGGCTGCTTGCAGATTGCAGGCTGCCAGCATCGGATCACTGACGTATCCTTCACCAACGTCAGTGGTGGTTGAAGATAGTGAACCCATCCATCCAAATATGGAAATTGTTGGCTATCATCTATTTCAATGGATGGGTATGATGTATATATACATATTTCTATCTATATACAAATATATATACATATATATATCATGCTATTTCAATGGATGGGTATGATATATAAATAAATAAATAACTAAAAACTAAATAAATAGATAAATAAATAGATGAATAAATAAATAGATGAATGAGTAAATAAATAGATGAATAAAATAAACAAATAAATAAATAAATAAATAAAAAAAATATATATATATAGGTATATATATATATATCCAATTGGGATCATGATCTTGCCCTGTTTTGGGACAGAACATGAAACGCGGTTAAGCGTGTGACGTTCCAAAAAACGTGGTGGTTCCGGTGTTCGGTGTTGACACGCTCTCCTGTGAGTGGAAAATGGACGCCACCCGTCAGAGCTGGTCCAGTGGCTTCTCCAAAAGAATCATCATCGATGCGCACCTGTCGACGAGATCTGTGGGGTTTCCCGAGTCTCCAGTCCCAGAATATGATGGGATACCCCATGATAATGGGGATAAACCTGATTAATATGGATAAATGGCCAATAAGCCGGAAAATATTCAAGCATATCAGGGGCACATGAGTTGCAATCCCAATTTCTGACAGGCTCTGGCTTTTCATATTCAACTTCTTCATCTATCCAGCAGAATGTGTAGCTCCCCGCCTGTGGCCCATAACTCTGAAGATCAAAGGCCAACCGTTTTTGGATCTCTTCCGCGGACCAGAACTCAAAGGGCAAACCCACGGCTTCGTGGCTGGCAACCTCATCACCATGGCTGGGATGATTCGATGATGGATCCCACATCTACAAACCTGGTGTAAGCAGAATAATGTTCATAGGATCCACCATCCCCAGCTTCATCATGGGTGGTATATGGTAACCATCAGCTCCAGTCATCCCAATTTGAGGTCATGGCCACTCGCTCCAAAAACACTTGGCTCTGTGGTGATCGCAGCACCAACGCACCGCAGCGCCGGAGTCGTGCCAGGCCGCCTGGTGGCTCCTCACGATTTCATCGGTGAAAACCCATTGAAGGATGCTCATCTGAGCTGGTGAAACTTCATGGCCATGGAGCCATGAACGCATACATACAAAGGTGCAATTTCATAGTACCCAACCAATATTTTTCCATCAAAGATACAAATGTATTTGTATGTATTTGTTCTTTGCCATCTTGCCATATCCTGCCATATCTTGCCATATCTTGCCATATCTTGCCATATCTTGCCATCTTCCAAGACATCACCTGGTCTCTCACGTCATTTCACATCGCATCCATGTCTCAGGTCGCGATGGCTAAGCAGTGCCCCCTCTGCTTGGCAGGGGGACTGTCAGAGCTGATCCTCAGCTTCGACCCAAATTTCAGCTGCAAACTGACGGAGCCAAGTCAGACATGCTTCCACACCATCTCTGAAAGCCGTTGAGGCGCTTTCATCTGCCTCAGAATCCACTGGGAAAAGTATGAAACACTATGGAGAAGTAAAAAACGCTTCCTTTCACTTAATGTTTCAGTTGATGTTTCATCATGTACTGACAGGACTCTGTACAACTGATACAAGTATATACTCACTTTAAGAAAGGAATTCCATCTCATTATGACACGGCCATCACAAGGGTCGCCAAGTTGCATAGCAGCGGAGAATACCTGGTGGTTGAGCCAGCAAACCATGATCGAAATGGTCATGTCTACACCTAGGGTTTTCAACCATGGCTAAAATCAGCCAGGTACATTGCACGTTGCCCTTCTCATTGACATGACCCACCACACGGCAGACCGTGCTCTTGCCAACCTCCGATTCCTGGAGGATGGGGTCCCCATGCTTGATGGTTGACTTCCCATAACAGGGAATATTCCGTTATCCAAAACATATTTCTATTCGGGGTTTGTCTCCAAATATCGTTTGTCAAAATTTATTATGGTTGATAATCATTTCTGTCAACTAACAGTGCCAGTGATAGATTACCACAAATGGCCAGAATTGGGAGAAGACTCCATATCAATTCCAATATTTTTTTCCCAAGCATATATATCTCAATATTATTGGTTGGTGAAATCCCAGTTTAATCCTCATTATCATCCAGACAGTAAATATTTATTGGTTATATCAGTTATATCCCAAGAAAATTCTTCATGAAAAGTCACCGTTTTAGATGGTCAATTCATGATGCTACTCCAAAAAACATTTTATTAGATGGATGAACCCCCATGAAATCCAATGACAATTTTTCCCTATAAACTCCCCAATCGTCACCAATTTAGATGGTCAAATCAGGTTAATTTTCATGTTAAACCCTCATTTTGATCCTGAAAATGGCATTCCCATTAAATACCCATTAAACACCCATAAATTCCCATTAAATTCCCATTTTTTCCCTATAATTTTCTCATAAATTTCATCCCCCCATCCATCCCATGGCTCCTCGACCGTCTCAACTCCCGGTGCCGCAGCTCTGGCGATCCTCCGCGCCGCGCCTTCGGAGCCATTCGACAGCAGCAGCATCGGCGGGTGGGAGGTCTCAACGGACCTGGGGAGATACCACTGGGTTTTAGGATGTTTTAGGCATGTGGCATGTCTAGTATGATGATGTCTGACTCTGATTATGTACAGTAGATGTACAGTATATGACTTAAATCATGAATCTCTGGTTCATTAGAATTCACCAAGCTTTTCAATCAGATGAAACTATGAAACCATAGGGCCATTTTGGGATGCTCCTCCTGACAAACCACCATGACGTGGGGTACCCGGGGTACCAAACAAACCGATGTCAACCCGGGATTAACACACCAGTTTGCTCACTTTTCTGGTGGGGTAACCCACCTAATTAGTTAAAACACATGATAAACTTTGCTGCGCCTGAGGCTTGGTTTTCTCAACCCGCAGGCAGGACATTGTATTGTGCCTGCAGAACTTGACATCAATTTTACTCTTCAGACTACAGCACAGCAATGATATAACTTGGCCAAGCAATAAAATAGAAGATAAATTGGGATAAATTTGTCATAAAATCGGCAATTACATAAGTTGATACGGGGATGGGACCCACTTAAATGAAATGGTCATTCGCAGTGGAACCCCATCGGAAAACCATCCACTTCTGGGCACCCAGTTCCGACAAAACTAATGAAAACTCCAAGAATCTCCATTGTCGCCAGTAGACTTTCCTCCTGACCATCAAAATATTCCGTCTCTCTGCGATGAAACCGCCATGGGTTCCAGTAACAAAACAAAATCATGATGTTCCAGAATGCCGTGTGCGGACAATGTATTAAGTTCAACTCACAGATTCAAGGGCCATGTTGTCTGAATCCTATTGTGACTCAAAACAAACTCATCGACCAACGCATCCAAGCAACAAAGTAGACTAAGTGTCAACCCTTGGATAAATAAATTCTGAATAAACTCTGTTGATCAATTCGGGGTTACCCCGTTACCCCATTATGATATCACACTCTCAAATTTGATATTGCCCCCTAAAAGTAGTTTCACTGGTGGTCAACTGGCAATCCTCTGGATCGGAGTTCTCTCCCATGCCCTCGAGGTTGCAAATGCAGGTGGACCTCGGTCGAATGTGTCGCTGAGTAAAGATCCCGGTCGTGGTCATCAACGGGAAAAGGACTGCAGTACATAATCCGCCAACCACGGCTGATGCAACGGGGAACGCGTAAGGGAAGAAGAGCCACTACTACTACTGCTGCTACTACTACTACTACTACCACCACTACCACTACTACCACTACCACTACTACCACTACTACCACTACTACCACTACTACCACTACTACCACTACTACCACTACTACCACTACTACCACTACTACCACTACTACCACTACTACCACTACTACAATTACTACCACTACTACCACTACTACCACTACTACCACTACTACCACTACTACAACTACTACCACTACTACCACTACTACCACTACTACTACCACTACTACTACTACTACCACCACCACCACCTTCTACTACTACTACTACTACTTCTACTACTACTACTACTTCTTCTACTACTACAACAACAACTACTACTACTACAACTACTACTACTACTACAACAACAACAGCAACTACTATGTTACTACTACAGCTACTACTACAGCTACTACTACAGCTACTACTACAGCTACTACTACAGCTTCTACTACAGCTACTAGTACAGCTACTCTACACCTACTACTACACCTACTACTACACCTAATACTACACCTACTACTACACCTACTACTACACCTACTACAACACATACTACTACACCTACTACTACACCTACTGCTACACCTACTACTACCTACTACTACCTACTACTACCCACTACTACCTACTACTACCTACTACTACCTCCTACTACCTACTACTACCTACTACTATCTACTACTATCTACTACTACATACTACTACCTACTACTACCTACTACTACCTACTTAGTACTACTACTACCTCCTGCTACCACTACTGCTACTACTACTACTGCTGCTACTAGTAGTAGTAGTAGTAGTAGCAGCAGCAGTAGTAGTAGTACTACTACTACTACCACTACCACTACTACTACTACTACTAGTACTAGTAGTACTACTAGTACTAGTAGTACTACTAGTACTACTCGTACTACTAGTACTACTAGTACTACTAATGCTACTAGTACTACAAGTACTATATACTAATGCTACTAGTACTACTAATACTACTAGTACTACCAGTAGTACCGCACAAGGCGGTGGCGGAAGTTTCAAAAATAAGAAACCTATAGGAGCAATTGGTTGTTGTGAATCAGGGATGGCAGAGCGAAGCCACTGATGGACTGAAAGGTGCTTGATCTCTCTCTCTCTCTCTCTCTTTTTTCTCTTTCTCTCTTTTTCTTTCTGTTTCTCTATCTTTCTCTGATTATCTACCTACCTACCTACTGATCTATCTGTCTATCTATTTATCTTTCTGTCTATCTATCTCCCTATCTATCTATCTATCTATCTATTTATCTATCTATCTATCTATCTATCTATCTAGCTGTCTAGTTTTCTAGTTATTTGTCTATCTATCTATCTACCTATCTATCTATCTATCTGTCTATCTATCTATCGATCTATCGATCTATCGATCTATCGATCGATCTATCTATCTATCTCTCTCTCCATCTCTCTCTCTCTATCTCTCTCTCTCTCTCTTTCATCTGTCTATCTGTCTAGCTGTCTACCTGTCTATCTATCTATCTGTCTGTCTGTCTGCCTATCTGTCTAACTGTCTATCTGTGGTGCAGTGTCATTCAGTGTAATGTAGTGTAGTGTAGTGGAGTGTAGTGGAATGTAGTGTAATGTAGTAGTGTAGTGTAATTTAGTGTAGTGGAGTGTAGTGGAGTGTAGTTGTAGTTGTAGCTGTAGTTGTAGTGTAGTGGAGTGTAGTGTACTGTAATGTAGTGAAGTGTAGTGGAAGGTCGTGTAGTGTAGTGTAGTGTAATGTAGTGTAGTGGAGTGTAGTGTAATGTAGTGTAGTGTAGTGTACTTTAGTGGAGTGAAATGTAGTGGAGTGTAGTTGTGTAGTTGTAGTTGTAGTGTTGTGTAGTGTAGTGTAATGTAGTGAAGTATAGTGGAAGGTAGTGTCGTGTAGTGTAATGTAGTGGAGTGTAGTGTAGTGTAATGTAGTGTAGTGTAATGAAGTGCAGTGTTGTGTAATTGAGTGTAATTGAGTGCAGTGTAGTGTAGTGGAGTGTAGTGTAGTAGAATGTAGTGAAGGTGTAGTTGTAGTTGTAGCTGTAGTGTAGTGTAATGTATTGGAGTGTAGTGTGGTGTAGTGGTGGTTGTACTTGAAAATGCTTCAGAACCCTCACGTTTTGCTCACTTTTGACAAGGTGCAAAATCCCTTGCGCCTGCCACGCGAAGCGACATCTGAACCTCCAAAAGTCGTCCGAACCCCTGGTGTTTTTAACTGTGACTTGGAAATGTGCTTTGTGCCCCAACGGCGTGCACTTTTTCGACATCTGAACCTCCAAAAGTGGTC